AGACTTTAAAAGCTCTTGTAAGCATGTGCAAAAATCCAATTTGCACAGAATTCTGTGTGCATGGAGTTACATGACCATCTTAGCGCATGGTACCCGTGAGCATACACAGGTAGTAACCATGCCAGAGGTGGTCATGTGATCCAGCCCCAATTCCATTGAATAAGATTTTCAAGTAAGTGAGTATTTGATGCTAGTGTGGTGTACAGTACTGGTGACATCAGGGATAACCAACATGGCACCCTCCAGATTCATCACACTCCAGTTCCCATTAGCCTAAGACAGCATGGCCAATGGTGGAGGATGATGGGAGCTGTAGTTCTGCAGCACCTGGAACCAACAACATATGGCCAACCTTAGGTTAAAGCATTAGACCAGGAAGGGGTAAACCTGGAAACCAGGAAGTTGGGAAATCCCTACTACACTGTGAGCAATCTAGATTGCCTTGGGCAAGTGACTATTACTTTTTCTCGTTAACCTACTTCCCTGAGGTGTTGAGAGTATAAGACAAATTAACGAAGTGTGCAGCACCCAGAGTTCACTGGAAAAAGGGCAGAGGCACATGTAAGAAATAAATTATATATTTAGGATTAGAGCTGGAGTCTGTTTTACTTACTTATGCAACATCTAGTCTAAACATTGCATAATGTAAGTGAAACTGCTTAATGCACAGTCTGTAAATAAATTCACACGTTTCTGCCCTAGCTTTGAAGCTCCAGATACAAGGTTGAAATGCAGCTGCATTGCTTTGCACAGAGGCAAACTTGTATGAATATGACAGACAAGAGCAATTGCATTCTCTCTTATCAGTGATCCATAGATAATGGGTCACGGGGAGATTTCGAAACTGTACTTTTCAATCCATGCCAGAGAGGTGCAGAATTGACATGAATATGCTGACACACCTTGAAGCACCTTCCAAACACCCCGGGCAATGATCCTGACCCTTTCACCAAGCGAGTAATGCTCCAAAGGATGTCGGTTGACATGTCAAGTGATTGCACCTTGTAAACCACCGCAGATTATTTTTTCTTAAGAAAAATGCTACCTTTCCTCTCTTTTTTTAGTAAAATCACTCAGCCCCATTCACTTATGTGTACATACAAAACATTAAAGGTTTCCCACTACTGGAAAATGACGAGACCTTTTAACCTCATAATTAAGAGCTACTGAAGCTTGAGACAGAAGCCATTTTCTCTAAATGAGCAACAAGGATATTGCCATATTTTTGCAACCCAGTGCATTCAATGTCAAAAAAGCATTTCTCTAAATGGTGGTGCTTAAGCAGTGGAGTTTTATTGAGGTCTCAGTGTAAAATGACGGTAGGCAAAAGGTGTTAGTATCCTATTCCAGTATTCTATTGATTTTTAATTAAAATATTTCCCTTTGTTTTATGTTTGTGTTTGGGGAAATTTAAGGGGGGGGGGACACAGCCAAGTTCCAGTGATTATCTCTGTAAGCCTTAAACAGTCCAATCCTATAATGGCTACTTGGAAGCAATCCCCATTGAGTTCAGGGGGACTTTCTCCCAGGTAAAGGAGGATAGGGTTGCAGCCATAATGACTTTGGATTGTATCCAACTAAGTCTCACTTAGAGTAGACTTACTAAGATTAATTGAGCTAAGGTAGTCATGTTCATTCATTTCAGTGGGTCTAGTCTGAGTAGGATGAGGACTGGATATGATTCTTCATTGGCATTGAAATATGACTGTCTTTTCAGACTTCCTGGCCTCAGTGGATCCTTCCCTCACTTATTGGTCTGCTGAGAAATGCACAGGAAAATGTGTATGAACTTTTGTGCCAGTTCTCTTTTTTGGTATAAAAATCACAAACTGATGCAAAAATTATTCTGAACTTAAGTGTAGAATAATGAGAAACTGAAATTGACATAGTCAACCATCCCTATCTTAGACACTCTCCCCATACAGCAGTGGTCCTTTTTAATGAGAGAAAACATGTTGCTCCAGTCCAGCCAATCAATAGAGGCTGGTTCAGATTCACAGTGCTAGGATATTGAGTGCTTGATCTCTGGTACTAGAATACAGAAATGAGAGAGAAGTGAAGTTTCCATCTGGCAGCAAAAAACTGTGAGTCCTCTACTGCCAGCAACAAGCAGTCTGTGGGCTGGCCCTGATCCATTGACCAGAGACTGAAAACCACTGTCCTAACAAATTCATGTCATTTATATTGCCCACAGTGTGAGAAGCGATCTAAAATGACACAGGCATCATGCTGAGTAAGCTATCAAACTCATGTTTTGATCCACTGAATTGTAAGAGAGTTTGGTCCAAAGAGATGTGAAGAATTTGGAGGAAAAAATATAACTTCACTTGGCCTGCTGGTTCAGAATGCCTGCTGTTAAATGTGTGTTTCAGTGGAGCAGGGAAGAGAAGAAACTTTTAGGCTGAAAACTAGATACCAGACTACACAGCGGTAGTTCAGAAAAGTGTGTTTCTAAACATGGGCAGAATGCATTTCCTATCATCACTGAGCAACCACAGCTTGCAACACGCTTCAGATGACAGAGGAAGGCTTCCAGCTCAAAGAATGTGACGTTCCAAAAGGGCCAAGCAGGAGGTGCTTCAACTCCAGGGACAGAAAATCTAACCAACTCCACACACAGAACCATTATCTCCTTTAATTGTGCCCCAGATCTGCTGCAAGAAATCTTGACTTGCCCGATAGCAGATTTGAGGCCAACTAAATCTCTTTTGAAAATTGTCTAGTAGGGCTGTAATTGTAGCAGCAGGAGGCTTTAAAGGTCCTTGATACTCATACCTTTAATTTTTTTATAATTTGGCAGAAGTATGATTCTGCTACAGCTGCTAATCTTTCTCACTTTAGAATTCATAGTATTGAATTCACATTTAAAGTGGATATGCTGCCTGCTTCTCTGTTTGGATAATTCATTCAATAGACCACTGGTTCAATATATTCTTTTTGAGACTGATTTGGTTCCTTGTCATGTGTAGTTGCACTGTTTAGGCACTCTATATCCAGCTATGAGATAGCCTGTGTCACTGCTATTCTTTTTCACTTCAGTGTGATAAAGCCACAGGCCTGCTGTTCTGGTTCTTAATTTTTAACCTCTCTCTTTCAGGACACAGAAAATTAGCTTCATCCATTAGCTGGAAGCACTTGTTAAGGCAGGGTGCACTATTCATCCCGGATGACTGCTCTCCATGGTTATGGAGTGATTGTCAAGGACAAATTGCTCTGCATTTTTCAAACAGCATGACTTAGTGCAGTCCTATCCTTGAGCCCATTGAAATAGCAAACGTGGGTCTAGGCTGTACTATTTCAGATCGAAGGTGGTGGCTCCCTGATGGAATACTGTTTCCTATAACTGACTAACTCCTCAGAACACAAAACATCAACTAGAGAGGTTTGAGTCACTCTCCCCCTCCAGCCCGATCTGTGACACATTAGTTTTCTATGTGCAAGGATGTTTTCTTTCATGGAAGACAGCCATCCTACCTACATTCTAAAGTGGTTTAGACTGAACCCTGAGTGAATATATAAGGATTCCATTGTCATATGTGCTGTGAAATATCTGCTCTTCCTTGCCTGTTGAAGACAATGCAACATTTAGTAAGATCGATGAAGTTTGCAGGCCTGAGAGACAGGAGCTTCCCTGTGGTGGCCCCATAGCTATGGAATCCCCTCTCCACTTAATTGTGCCTAGCCTCTTATTTATAAGCATTTAAGGATGCCTTTAAAACTTGTCAGTTTCAGATTGCTTTTTCTTAAAGAGTTCTAGCTGCTCCCCTATGTGTTACTTTCATGGAACATTAGAATAGAAAGGGGGAGCACCTTGAAATGTTTCATAATCTGTACCAATACTCCTCTGGAATCCCCCTGACTGTACTAGGGCTGAAATGAATTACTCCATCACACCACTATGCTAAAAAGTGGCAGACTTGAGGGGTGGGATTTGTAGATTGCCAAGGAATGGGACTACCCCCCCTAGTTTTGTGGGAAATTTTAGCAGTAGGCGACAGTGCTTTCCTTTCTTGAAAAAAAAATGTTAAAATGCATTTTTTGCATAGCTTTTCTTGGTGACTGCTGAGAAGAACTCTTCAGCTGCCACTATCACAGGGAGCAACAAATATATATTTTATACATTTTTTTAGGCAGAGAGAGGAAACCACTGCTGTTCGTTCCCGTAGTAAGACTCTCCTTCCCTCTTCCAAATTCAAAACATTCCAGGTCCAACCAACATTTCTCACCCATTTCTGGGGGCTAAAAATATCCCCCCCCCCCAGATGTTGTAACCTATCCGGGGATCTTAGTGTAAAGTGTGGGAAAATAACAGTAATAATTTTCAATCATCAGATTTGGGTCCTGCCCTCCATTTTTACCAGGGATGCTGAACGCTCTGCTATCTGTCTCCCCATATAGCATACATTTGTGATTAAAATTGGTAACATGTATCATGAAGGTCCATAAGGGACGTGGGTGGCGCTGTGGCTTAAACCACAGAGCCTAGGACTTGCCGATCAGAAGATCGGTGGTTCGAATCCCCGTAATGGGGTGAGCTCCCGTTGCTCAGTCCCTGCTCCTGCCAACCTAGCAGTTCGAAAACACGTCTAAGTGCGAATAGATAAATAGGTACCGCTCCGGCGCCGTAACCCCAGAGTCGGCCACGACTGGACCTAATGGTCAAGGGTCCCTTTACCTTTTATCCTAAAGGTCCATATTTTAGGATTACGCAAAAAAATTATTTTACAGGGGGATGAGTGGCTTATTCTTCGCACTTCATAGAACTGCTGCTCCCAGCTGTGTGAATATTTTTAGCAAAGGGCACTTGAATGGTCTTATGTGAGTTTTAAATGTTTAGGTCAGCATTACAAACATAAGCCTTGTAAACCTAGTGTTGTAAATGAAACAGCAAAGACAGCTCCATTCCGCTCGTGTCAAGGTGCTTTGCCAAGTATACAAGTCTGTCCTCAAGGCTATTACATAATACCCACGCTAAAGAAGATATTGAGCACAAATGTTCCTTCTCTTTTATACCATTATATTTATTAACTCCTCAAATGCAGGCTGAACATAGGAATCAGTATCTACAGAGAGGGAGAGAACTAGATTAGTGAAGGAGGAGAAATCTGTTGGATCCAGATTGTTCATCACGCTTTCTGACAATTTAGCTGTCACAGAGTCTTTATTCTGTTGATTTCAGTGGAACTACAGAGCAGCTTAGTTTGGATGCAACGATATTCTTTGATGTTTTGATGGGCGAAGAAGAGATTTCAATGGCCAGCGTTCAAAGGCTGACTATATCCAGGATTAAACAGTCCCAACATATTGCATTTTAAGTGATATTGTTGTGCTTACCTTTAATGTCTTATATATAGTACCTAAGAAATAAGTAAGTGTGGTTTGAAATGTTGGGTGTGGAGGGAAAGAGTTGCCTTGGGGTTCCTGCTTAAGTTTTTAAAGTGTAAATGTAAAATGCTTCACACGTTTGGGTTAAATCTATAATATGGAGATATGGCAAACATCTTCACTGGCAACAGTGGTAGTGTTTGCAGGGTCACTCTGTAAAATAATGCACTTACAGGGAGAAAGCAGTGTCAGTTATGCAGCTAGTATATGAGCTTCTGAGTTTGTCACGCCAAAGCTGACTTTGGAAACATTGGCTTGTAATATTTTACTGACCCTGTGACTATTATACTTAATCTGAGACAGGGCTCCAAGACAGCCTTTCTTTTTCCACACTATGGCTCAGCTTTGGAGCATGTGAAGTCATAATACAGTATTCTGAGCACGTGAATAGCCTGCCCCCTCATTACTGAGTAACCACATCTTGTCCTCACCGATTTGCAGCAATGTCACACACAGATGTCTTTCAGATCTCATGGCATTGTTTCACAGAAGCACCTAGATTTTGAGACAACTTAATGGTTCTTCACACTGGGCCCTGGTCTACACCTGCAGCAGAATGAGGTGGCAGAACACTGTTACCACTTTTTGAGACTGCAGTTGTGTGTGTGCCATTTTTTATATGCTCCCATACTTTACATGACCACCACCACACACTAAAAATCTGAAAGCAAAAACATATCAGACTAGGGAGACATGTATTCTATCCTGCTTCTTTGTTGTGCGAGATTTCGAGTTTCAGAGAATTTTTTTTTTAAGGAAGAAAACAGATAAGCATTGGCTCAGTGGGAGAATGCATAATTTGTGTGCAGAAGGTCCCTGGTTTTTTAGCCAGCATGTCCAGGTGGGATTGGAAAAAACTCCAGTTTCAATTTTCAGTGTAGACAATTCAGTATGACTCAATATGAGGCAGCTTCATATATATAGGTAGCAATCCCATCTTGCTACCACTTCAGAATGCGTAGAGTAGACCTATATGGTTATACATATGTCAGATGAGTTTACATATGCATGTCAAAGGCCCAAATCCCCTTGGCCTTCCCCCACCCTCCCATACAGCTCAGAAATTTTAGTCCCCAGACTCAGTGGTCTTACAACCTTTCCCTCCTTTACGTGTATTGTTTTGGTTGTGAAGCACAAAATTAACATTACTCTACTTCCTCCATCACTTCATGTTTTACAGCTGCTTCTGCATTCCTGATACATTAGAGCAAATAAAAAAGTTTGCCAACCGTGATGGGGGGAGGAATACTCTGAACACATGGAGTTTCTCATTTTAAACTCGCTTAAATCATAGCACCATCCTGAACATAATGGGGTTTGCCTCTGCATCTGGTAAAAAGCACATTCACTTGGGAGTAATAACCACTTTGTAGAAAATGATAGTGCGGATTTAAAATAAAAATTATAAAATAGGCATCCATTAGCATGTATGTGCCTGGTCAGAGTGAGACATGGCCATCAACCCCACCGAACTATAAAATGTGGGATTTATTTATTTTTTAGAAAAAAGATGCTGCGCCAATCAGCGTAGGCTCTGCTGGATCCCATGTGCCCAGATGCCAGTCCAGGTACTTATGTGGGGCCTGGATGCTTCTGCCCCCAACATTGGTCGCTCTCTGGGCGGTCATTTGGGGACATCCAGGCTGTGAGGCCATTAAATTTGGCACACAGCTGTTTTGGTTACCCCTCCCTTCCACAGGGGGCTTCCAGGCCCATAAGTGTAACCAAAGGGGGGGAGGCAGGGAGGAGCAGCTGCCCCCCCAATATATATATTAAAAAATAAATAGCTAACTGAGGCTCTCCCCCTCTAACAAAAGGACTGCTCCCCCTTACAAAAATCCTGGCTGCGCCCATGTCTAGGCCTGCATTGATAACTTTGCTATACTATAGTTGCTGAAACAAGTAACCGCAGCACATGTTTTAGGGGGAAATGGTATGCAGTGCAACCGAATCTATTCTTAAGATATAGAAGGACCCACCTCAGAAAACTCACCTTCGATAACAACCCAGTTCTACCCAATAGCAACCAAACCCTCCACCTCTCCGCCTTTCCCGGGCAGAGCCGAGGCTCCCTCGAGCTCGCTCTCCACCCCCGCCGCGTGTTTCCCAGCGCGGGAAGCCGGCCAGAGCGCGTCTTGGCAGCCTTCCGCCTAGAGGCGTTTGCCCGGAGCTGTCAGCTTGGCTTCCCTCGGCAGCTGCCGCTGTGCTCGCTTTGCATCCCTTCCTCCGCTTCGTGATCGCCGATTCCCTCCGCCCCGATCCTCGTTTTTGGAAATGGGCTCCCCTTCCCCACGGCAGCCCCGTGCGCTCTGCGTGAGCACCGCTGCTGCGCCTCGGCGATCGTGCGGCTCCCGCGCGCTCCCCCTGGGCAGCCTTGTCGGATGCGGCCCCGCGGAGCCCCGCTCGGCTGCCGGGAGGGTTGGAGGGGGCAGGGTCCTTTCTCCCCACCCCACCGCGCTGTATTTGTTTTCGAGGGAGCTGCCAGGCCCGCAGCCTCGTCTTGGGCGGTGTAAAGTCCCTGTCTCAAACCGGGCAAATCGCCGCCCGCGTTCAAAGTCTAAGCAGGGGCGCTATCTCAGGCAATCTGTAGAGAAGAGCTGATTATTGCTTCTGAGGCTCGATTGCCAATAAGTTACTAATAAATAACTTCAGGGTTTAGGATTCTGAAGCCTTTCCCAGCCAGCCCACCACCCGTCCTGCCGTTTCTCTTTCTTTCAAAGCTTTGCATGGGGAATCGTAGGAGAGGAAATATATAGGTAAACGTGCTAATGTTTTAAGGAAAGATACCCGGCTTGCTTGCTTTTTGCATGACAGATTTAATGCAGCCTGGCCCTATGCGTGCCATTCATACCATACATTTTACGCCCCCCCCCAAATAAGACTCATGGGAACTGTAGTTTAGCCCTTCACAGGGCTACAAAGTCCAGCACCCTTAAAAGCTACAGTCCCCAGAACTCTTTGGGGTGTACTTTAAATGTTCTGTGCGTATGCATGCTTGTAAAATGTCTTCTCAAGTAAAGAAACGGCAGTTCTGCAGCATTTTCCCCTGTATATTTGCTCAATAAGGCTTAGTGCCCAATATGCACCTTTAAATCCATTACCTAAAAGTAAATCCTATATAACACGTGAGCTTACTCAAGAGGAGTCATGTCTTGAGGTGTACTATTAAACTGATCTTGAGGTCTAACTGTTCTTAATAATAGTTCACTTCTGAATAAACATGCAAAGGATTGCACCATTAAAACACTTGAAAATGTAAATCCCTTTTACAAACGTACAGACGATATTTAGAAATCAAAACCGTTCTTACAAAAAAAAGAAACCAACAACCCAGCTTAAGTAGAAACGCCATTTACCTTTCAGTTACTGTACTCTCCTTCTTTGTAACTGACACGGAAAGAAGGACTGAATAACCACACTGTCCGTGGAATCATTAATTATCAAACGTGAGAGTTGGGGGGGAAACTGGTTTACTTTGCAATACACTTTTTAAAAATATTTTTTCACTCTCGTTGTCCTTGTTACCAATGTGCATTTGGTAAGACAAAAAAAAAAAAGGAAGTACACAAACACACATGACGCCACAGTTTCTGTACAGAGCTCTAAAATGAGCTGCGATGTTATTATCTACAAGAGGTGCTCTTGGGCCGAGGAAAGCAGCTTGGGGCTGCTGTCACTTCCCCTGTGCTGCCCACCCCAGCTGCTTTTGGCAGGAGCCAAGGGAGAGAGGATGGGGCCCTGCATACATCTGTCCACATGTGCATGGGCTTAAAGATTTCTCTACAGTTCAAGTCCTTTGAGCCAGAGTTAGCTCCCTGTGGAGGGTTCTAGAAGTCCTGCCGCGGGGTGTGAGTTAGACTGTGCCTCCGCAGATCACAGTTTCGCCTGAACACTTTGCCGCACTGCTCACAGTTGTAGGGCTTGATGTCTGTATGGGTGAGAAGGTGAGTTTTCAGGTTACTTCTTTGATTAAAGGTTCTTCCACATGTGGGGCATTTGTGTGGAGATTCCTGTTCAGATTTGAAGCAAGCAAAGGATTAAACCCTTTACAAACTACCTGGTTTACTGAGTTTCTCAAAACTTCTCTCGTTATATGCACACACCCTCCCCAGTTTTGTTACCCTTCAAAACACCAATGCCATAGTGGGAAATAAATCTTCACAAATCCTAAGTGCCCCTTCTCAGGCCTAAATGCCATGGAAGTGGTTTCCACATAAGGCTGCAATTCTAGGCACATTTAAATGGGCAGTAAACACCACGGAAAACAATGTTTACTTCTTAGTTATTTTAAAAAACAACAACAAATAAACCCAAAACAGGATTAGGCTGTATGTGCATTTGTAGCCTGATCCTATGTGTGTTTACTTAGAGGTAAATCCTATGGCATTCAGTGGGATTTACTCCAAAGTAAATATCCGTAAGTTTGATGATGATTAGAGTCTTGAAAGTAAGGTGAGGATCCTAGCATGCTTGCTGCCCAGTTATAAGCACATTTAACTGGAAGTAAGTCCCTAAAAATAAAATAGAGAGCTTGTCAGGGATAGTACATATAAGCTTGGATTGGACCAGGGAGATGTGGATTCGTATTCTTCTTCAGCCAGAAAGCTCACCAGGTGAACTTCTGCCAATCCCCTATATCTCTAGCTAACCTACTGCACAAGGTTGTTATGAAGATAAAAATAAACAAAGAGGGAGGAAACAAGTATGCTTAGGAGTTCAGCCCTACTTGAAGACAAGTTCTACTGAACTTATTAACAGTTTACTTCCCAGTAAATGCATTGGGGGGGGCAGGGGTAGCTCATGTATCTGCTGTAGGTACAAGATCACAATTCTTTGCAGCCTGATCCTTATAGACATTTAGTCGGAAGTCAGTCCAGCTGAGCTCACTGGAACTAACTCCCCAGTAAATGTGCTTAAGATTACAGCCTTAACAGCGCGGATATATCTTCTTGCCTGTCAAGGACAATCCTCACTTCATCACATTTCCCCATCTCTAGGATCTACTGAAAAATGCTTCTTGCTAATCCACCCAGCTTCCCAGGGATACTTGCATCATCTCTATCAGTGAAAAGCTTTCCACAAAGCAAGTCTTTTTTAATCTGAGCTGTTAAAAACAGAGCATACATTTCATCTGCTTCAGAAGTGTCAGACTTCCCAATGAATCTTTTCCAGCTATGGAATATGCAAGTCTTAAATGAAATGATGTTCAAGCCAACACACGTTTACTCAGAATAAAATCCTGTTAAATTCAATGTGACTTACTCTCAAGTAATTGTGCATTGGATCACAACCATAAACAACTTCTGCAGGCTTCTTTAATCCTTCTAAGATCCCAGTGTGCTTTTTTTCTTTACCATAAAGAATGAGTCAAGACAATTTACACCCCCCAAAAATGAATTAAATGACTCTGAACAACTGAAATAAAAGTTCAGACTGTGTCATGTTTTCTGCACAATGAAGCGAAGTGGAGGTCAGTAGTGGATAAATTATCTAATTTAAATAACCATCAACACCACTCCTCTGGTACAGTTACATGTCTTTACTTACTCATTATGAATATTGCTATGTATAAAGAGTTGAAACAGAATTAAGATAAAAATAAACTGTCTAAAGCAATATGGATCTAACCTTACCTGCATGTGTAAAGTTTTATGAACTGCTAGAGTCCTGGACTGGCAAAATCCTTTCCCACATTCCTGACATTTGAACGGTTTTTCTTTGGAATGGATATACCTAAAAGCCAATACAGGCATTTGGAATTAGTATGTGTAGACACAGAAAGAGCCATAACAGTTAACAGTAGTCTCTATGTAGCTCAATATCTGGAGGGAAATTATACTAATGGGACAATGCTATAAATGTTGACTCAGAAGTCTCACTGAGGTCAATGAAGCTTGCTTCCAGGTAAGGGTACACGGTTGCAGCCTAAGCCTAACTCAACACTGAAATCTACTTTTCCAATTTTCTTTTCATAGGTTTTTTTCCACAGCCACTTGACAGTAGTTTCTCCAAAGGGCTTCATTGCCCTTTCCTGCTAACAACTTAAGGAGACAATCCTAAACACACTTACTACAGTGTATGTTCTACTGAGAACAGTGGAACTTACTTCTGAGTAGCAATGCACAAAAGTCCTATGTAAGTATGCAATCTTTCACATGCGTGCACTGGGACTTGCTTTCATGTGAACATGTAAAGGCTGTGGTCCCACTTGTTCCAGCTGAGGTCAGCTGGAACTTTGCCTTACTAAGTTTATAGAGCCCCACAGGATCTGGCCCACAGTTCATTATCGTTTGATGGGATGAGAAAAGGCAGAAAGCCCTTGAGCTTCTCAGAGCAAGAAACAGAGGAAAAGGGCCATTTGTACATTGTTACAAACACATTGTAAATGTTGTTTCTCTGGCATGTATGGGACAGAAAAGAACAAACATCCCATTAGTGTTAGGAAATATTCATTTCAAGGAACATACTGCCTTCTCTCTGCCCCTCCCCCTTCGAGTTTTGATCCACATTTGCTAGGCTATAAATCTACTGAATTTTTTCTGCAGCTTCCTTACTGGACTTCTATCAAGTGCTATTCCTACAGAGGTAAAGTAGTTTGTTGTTGCTTTTTTGCTGGGATCACCAAGCCTTTATCAAATCCTACAGACTAGAAAAGAAAGCAAAAGGGAAAATATTGGAAAGCCCATCGGGAGGTACGGATCAGATGCAGAACCCTGGAAAGAAGTGTCATGAAAGCCAACCACCCTGAAGCCACCCCTCACCCTCAGTTGGGCCCACTGAAGTGGAAGATGACTTGCTTCTCATCAATGTCACTTGCTTCTATGCAAATCAACCCAACACTCCCAGTCCCAACCTTGTTCCCTTGGAAATAAATCCTACCGGCGCCCCTCCTACGTATTGAGAACTGCACTGTTAGTTAGGGCGGCATACTAATAACACCAACCACCTTCCTATTGCAGACAAGAGGCTGAGAAACACAGTCATTTCTCCTCTAGGCCTATCTAAGTGGGTTTTGGGGAAAACTGGAGCCCAGAACTTGCTGGTTGGCACATCAACCCATAGCTGTCAACGTTTCCCTTTTTTAAAGGGAAATTCCCTTATTCCGCATAGGATTCCTCGCAAGGAAAGGGAAAAGTTGACAGCTATGCGGCTCAACCTCAGAACCACCACTAGGCCATCCATCATAAGGCTTAATTTCCAAGGGAAATGGAGGGTTGGGGAGTGGCTGGATCCTGCATGGCAAAACCCCGTGGGCACCCTTTTCTCCAAAGAGGCTGGAGCGAGGGCAATAGCCAAACAGTCCCCCTTTTGCATCTCCAGCGGAGCTGACCTGTGGTCGCGGAGGTGGTCCTGCCTCCGGAAGGCCTTGTGGCAGATGTCGCAGGTGTAGGGCCGCTCGTCCGTGTGGGTCCTCTCGTGGATGAGCAGGTTGTAGGACTTGGTGAAGTGGCGCCCGCAGAACTTGCAGATGAACTCCTTCTTGGTCTTGGAAGGCAGCCTGCCGCGCGCCGGCTTCCGGTCCGGGGAGAGCTTGCCCAGCGCCGCCGACAGGGGGCCGCTCAGCTTGGCCAGCTCGCCGTGCGCCGCCGCGGCCTGGTGCGCCTTGGGCGGGTCCTCCTGCGTGGCCGCCGCCGCCAGGTTGGCGAAGTCAAAGCGCGGGCGCTCCTTGCGCAGCGCCGGCAGGACGTGCGCGATGGCGGCCGCCTGCTTGGGGTGGAAGAGGTGCGTGGCGAAGGGCAGCGCCGGGAAGGGGAAGCGCTCCACCAGGCCCTGCGCCGCCGCCATCTCGCTCAGCGCCGAGCAGCGGCTGATCTCGGCCGGGCCGCCGCCTCCGGCCGTGGCGGCGGCCGCGGCGTAGCAGCCCAGCGTCCAGTGGTTCATGTGCATCGTGTGCACGGCGCTCAGGCCGTACAGGCCTTGCAGGTGGTCCACGGCGGCCGGGAAGGTGTTGACGGCCTGGAGGAAGGAGTAGTTGGTCAGCTGCAGAGACGGGTGCAGCGGGATCGGCGCCGGCAGCGCTTTGCTCCCCATCGTCCCAGCGGCCGGGCCTGGCCGCGGAGGGCCGGAGGCGACCCGCGGCTCCTCGGGGCGCACGCACGGGCGCAGGTCCTGAGCAGGGACAGAGGGAGGGAGGGGGACAGAAACAAAACAAGAGGCAGGTTATTGCAAGGGCAGCGTCTACACGTGGCTTTGACAAGAGGGGCCTGGTTTTAATACAGTTGCAGGTCCCCTTAAGACGAAGTACAGTAGAATTAAACAACCTTCACAGCAATAATAATGCGCAACCAGGATAAATAATTAGGGGACCCGAATAAGAGGGCTGTCGTTAGAGCGGCGAATAATTCAGACTCCGAATTGATCTCGCTGGTGAAGCGGGCCCCAAACCGGCGGAATCATATATAAAGTTGAGAGATGCAAGCAAAGTTGGGAGCGAACGGCATTACCTGGAAGAGGCCGACCCAAATAAAATATCACCTGAAAATATCAAATAGCAATTAAGCGCACGGATCCCTGCAACACACACTCAGCAATTCGTTTAGGCAGAGTGACTCTTTCTTTCCAATATCGTAGATGGATCAAGAAATCAAAGCCGCGTTCCCTGGCAAGGGCTGCGTCTGCGGGCAAGGTCACGAGGACTAGAATCTTTGAAAACGGCGGCGGCGGGGGGATCCCAGATCCAGCATTTCATCGACTTCTTCAGAACGCCCCCTCTGAATGCGAGCTGTACTGATGGCAGAACTGACTACAAAGTCCATATTTTTGAAAGGACCCAGGAGGAGCGCGATGTGCCGGCCACTTAACCCTCGAAGCGGATGTCCTGCAAGGCTGGAGGCTCAGGACAGGAGCCGTTTGGAAGCGGGGGCTGCTTTGGTGTGCGGTTTCTGCGTCCTTGCCATAGCGCACACAGTGGTGGTGTAAGCAGGGAAGTTCGCGCGCCCTTACAAGCGAGCTACTGACTCCCGTCCAACATGAGCGAGCTTCACAAATAGATTTTTTTAAAGGCGTTTGGCTGCGATCCTGCTTGTTCGAATGGGCTTTTTATGCGCCTAGGTGGGGAGCAGGAGGCTCTTTAAGAGCTCATGATGTCTGAAGAAGCGATAAGTCATGTCAGGGGCTTGCGGGGGAGGGGGCGGAGAGGGGAAAGTGATAAATACTCGCTGATTCCCTCGCTTCACAGGGAAATAAGGGCGAGCACAGTGCATCTAACATGGCTCCCGACGCATTTAACCAGTGAAAACGGAGGGGGGCCCGATCCCAAACACATTACACGAGAGTAAGGCTCAGTTGGGTCGATTTAACTTCCTTCCACCATGCAAAGGGCACACGAGGTCCAACCGGTACGACGGCTGCTACTTTGAATTTGGCTGTATTATGGATCACAGCTACTTACAACCAGCAATCCTTTGGGAAGCTGGCCTGGGTTGTAAGACTGAATGAAGAAGCCGATGTCCCATCTTGAAACACTTCCAAACGCGCGCAGCCCGATCCAGTGCATTTCCCACCAAAGGATCCTATTATGTAATAAATAGGGGTCTCATTGACTACAAGGGGGCTTGCTCCCAAGTAAGCAACTCCACCTACGGGTAAGGCCGATGACCTGGCCCATGCTTTCATGGAAGAGAAATCCGGTTGAAATGAATGGACGTGACTTCCGAGGAAACATAGGTAGAGGGCTCGCTCGCCTTGGCGGAGCTTGCTTTTAAGCAGGTGGACCCAGGATCACAGCCTGGGCCTCGAATTGGCGCGCTTGCCCGAGACACCCATCATCTCAGGAGGGCAAAGGGGGTATAAAACGCCAACCGATCAGGGCCGGCCGGTGCTGAATGAAAGGGCCAGAACAATTACAACGCGCTTCACACGTTGGGGGGTGTTTCTTTCGTCGCATCTACAGATTATATGGGGGGGGGGGGGTCAGCGCCTGGGATCCTCCTCGCCGTTGGAAGCCAGTTCCACCGGCTCCGTCGGAAGTGTCCACGAGGTTTCAATGGCGAGGCCCTGAACTGGTATAGCGCCTTTTCCCGGGCCTTGGAAGTCGTCGGCTGAGGTTGGCCTGGCGGGGTTAAGTCAGGGGGAGGGGAGCAGAGGGGTCTCCATGGGCGGGGAAGCAAAGGTCCGACGCGGGAGGCGAGGAAAGGCGGGGGCGTTTGGCTAGGAGGGGCTGGTGGCTCTCCGCGGTGGGGCTGCCCGCGCTGCCCGCCTTGGCCCTCCCCGGTGCTGCTGCGCTTATTTTTCTTCCCTCAGCGACAACTCATTAATCAAGATAATTGAAAGAGAGAAAAGCAACACTTCCCCCGTCGCCCCTCGACGCCAAGCGCTCCAGGCTCGGAATACCCCCTCTCCCTCCTCCTCTCTCGCAGATCCCTTTCAGCTGGCCAAGGCGCCACCCAAGAGGGACACCCCCAGGGTCTCTCCCAGACGGCCTTCAGGGAAAGGAGAGTAGTAGCCCAGCTGGGCGCTTCTTTGCAAGGAGAAACACCCGCCCCCTCCATTGGGAGTCCTTAGGAAGAGCCACCTCGCTCGGGGATGGTTTTCTGCGACAGGCAAGCGCACCAGGGCGCTGCCCCGAGGATCTCCCACATGGGATTCAGCTCCCAGGCTTCCAGCAGGCAGCCGGACCTTAATCTGGGGTCGAGGTTATTTTTGGGGGGTGCTGTAGCCCCGCAGAAGCAGCATTGGCAAGCACTGCCCTGCTCGCTCGAGGAGGCGGGCGAGGCTTACTCTTTCGCCCCCCGCCCTTCTCTCATCCAGCACTGCAGTTTCGCGGCCATTCCTGCCCCAGGATCTTGGCGGCTCTTCCTTGCTCCGCTTTCTTATTGCATTTGGAACGTCCCTGCAGCCTCCCGAAAGGAGTGTGGGAAATGTGATACTTCGAGAAAAATAAAAGCGGCCCTAAAATCCAATTGGGAGTTAAGCATTTAAACGGGCTTCTGGGACGGGCTGGGCTCGGCCACATCTGTTAGTCCCGCTCGCTCTCACAAGGCAATTTTCGAAAGAAAAGAAACAAAGCCTTCAGATGCTCCTTTCTAGGCATCCCCAGATACTTTTCTCTAAAAAAACACAATAATAATCCGGTTGGAAGATGGTCACAGGAGCTTAACTGAGCTTTATTTCAAATGCCTGGTCGGAAAAAAGCTACCGGTTCTCTATCCCCGAATTGAGCCTTGCGACCCATTAACAAACCCGGGGCGGGAAGTGGAAATAATCTGACCCCCCCCCTTCTTTAAAGGCATCGTCTTTTGTTTTTGTATTTAAAAAAATAGAGGATCGTGAAGCTGGGTTATGAGTCTGCAGGGGTAACCAATTTGGATAGAAGCGCTCCTGGGTGCAAAAGGCTTCATTGGTTTCTCCAATGGCAGCTGTAGGCCTCTGCACCGCCAGTTTGCAAAGAAGGAAGGAGGAGGAGAGACCATCAGGGTCTTATTCGTGTGCCAACGTAAAGCGCACTTGATCGTGCATTATTTTCCTCTCTTGCATCAACATCTGATGGGCGAAAGGGGCCGAAGTGCCCTGGTTGCCTTCGCCCGGTTTCCCGCTCGCGCCCAGGCCGAGCAGAGCTTTGCTTCTGGGGGTTGGAGGAGGGGACGGACCATTTCTAAATTAATGCAGCGCTAAAAAGGGGTAGCAAAAAAAAAAACCCCAAACAAAACACGCAGCCTCTTCCTTGCCTCTGGTATGCGATCCGAGTGCGCAGGGAAGGGAGTTAATGAGAGGTGTGTGACAGTCAGAGGGTTTCACTCAGCCCGTTCAACCGAAACTATTAACTCCCGTTCCCCCCCGACGACTTTCCCACCACTCATCACTTTCCCTTTTGCAAATAAATAAATAAATGCACAATCATGGCGCCCACACCACCACCCCCTCGACACTGCAACGCGACCGCACAAGGGCTGGCTATCCTGATAAGAGACATCGCCACGCAGAGATGGGAAGCGAAAAGGAAAGAGGTTCGTTTACTTTTTCCTGCTGGAGTTCCCATCGTGCCAGGGTCAAGGGGCTTCCAGACTTACTCAAGGGGGTCCTTTCCTAACGAGGGGGGGGAGGGGATCCCCTCTCCATCTGGGCTGGACTGCTTGATTTAGATAAAACATCATGCTGCAGGACCTTGACACAAAAAATTGAAATGTACGCTTGACAAAAAAAAGATGTTTTCTCGGAGATTAAAAAGGGGGGGGGGAGACACCCAGAAAGCACGTGATTTTTTAATTTAAAAAAAACTCTTTCTGTTCTGTATTAAAATAGCTGTAATGCATAGCACCAAAGTACTAGTATTATGCCTAGGTATTTATATTTCAGATGTGCAGCTTTTACACGCCCACGACGCAATTTGCCCCCAAACACTTTCACCGCACACATTTTCTAGAAGTCCTGCGGATTTCGATGGTCCTTGTTTCCAAGCAAATGTGCTAAGGATAGAGACTCCAATTTCGTTTTGGCATTTTCCTTCCAAAGCGGCTTGAAAATTTGAGTCGGTTTAAATGATTCCCTCACAGATCCTAAAAACAAATCCATCAGAAACTTAAGTGCTACTGATCTAATTAGAGTTTACTTCCTGCTGCTGTGCTGCTTAACACACATTAAGTGAAACAATCCCAATGAATCAAGCGAGAGTTACTTTTAATGTTAACCTGTTTTAAGACCGAGGGCCAGGACTCGGGGATTAGGCCGCTCACATAAAAATCCAGTTATGGTTTATTTTATATTAATTGTTCTCAACAAAGTTGAGGGTTTTTTGTTTAACACCGACATTTTCGTTTCTGATTAAAGGCATATGATGAAAAAATACGTCACTTTTCGAATATAATTTTAGTTTTTTATTAAAAAAAGCAAATATATTCAGAGTTTCCCATTGCAAGAAAAAAAGACAATTCGATTAATGTTTATTTGGAAGTAGGTTCCATTTATTTCAGCACAATCCTAACCATTGCTACTCAGAAATGAGTTCTGTTGAATTCAATGGGGCTTGATACTAGTTAAACCACTGCAACTTCATTCCCTAGTAAGAGTTCATACAACTTTGATCTTTAGGCGTACATTTTATAAATTTACGTGGGAAATAGTGGCGCAGGTTTTAGGAGAACTTGCTCATTTACATGGGATCGCCTCTCTACGACAAGATTTTGCACACTTTTGCTCTTTGATTCAATGGGATATCCATTACAGCCTATAAGTTTTTAAAAAAATGCTAAAGTTTACTTTCAAAACCACGTGTTTAAGTTGTGTAATATTCACACCGATCTTGTTTTTGCTTCAGCACAACCCAAAGGTGGTGTCTTTTTAAAATAAGACATATCAGAATTTCTCTACCTGCTGTATCCATACTGATGTAATTATTTGACCCTGCATAAGGCAGTATTTCACAGAATCGAATGAAAACAAGGCGTAGGACTGCACCCCGAACAACGTTAGATATAGACTTTACTGCCCTCTGAGCCATCTTGCAGGCTGCAGTCCTATATTCACAACCTTCCTTCCATGGAAAGCAAGCAGCGCAGTACAAAGTAAATACGTTTAGGTGCCAAACTTGACAATGAGAAAGTGTGGGGGTGGGATGGGGGGAGAAATTAGGCCAGAAAGTGCAGTGTTTTCCTTTGAGAGCCCACTGGTAGTCAGGGTGCGAATCAAACACGGATGTTATTTAGACACACTGTCACTTCCCTTTCCACTCCGAATCCTTAATTTAATTAAGGCCAGTGTCTGCAGAAACAAGAGTCTTCCCGGCGTGATCTTTGGCTGGCTCTCCCTTGCTTTTTCAAGGGCTTCCGACGGCTAAGGACTTGAAAGGAGTTTTTGCTTGGATGTCAGAGGGAAATAAATAACCGCTCTTGGTGGGAGAAGGCTAAGAGCCCGCCGAGGGTCTCAGCTATCAGGTAGGCAAACGCCGGCTGAAGTTAGGGGAAACTATCTCTGCCAGATCCCACAGATTTGTATTTGTTTACCCTCGCCAAAACCAAGACCTCCGTCCCGCTCCGGCGTTCCCAAGGGCTATCTCGAACAAATCAAGAGGAGGAAAGGAAATCTTTCGCCCAAGATTTGTTGAACGAGCAATGCGACTTCACCTGGCTTTCCTGGAAGCCTTTGGAGTGCGAACTTTCTAAGGGGGGGTCTGGAGGCCCTTCCACTTGCCCGGAGCGTTATGGAGCGCGCAGAACACAGCCAGCTCTGTGCACCGAAAGACAGGTCTGCCCCTGTTCTGGTGTGAGCCGCCGGGATTCAAACCGAAAGTAAAGGCGAGGAGTTGCTCGCTCCTCCTCGGCGAGAGACCGAGCTGGCTGACAAAGCCCTCTGCGGCCAGCCCGAGCTCTACACGCGCGCTTACTCGGAAGGAAGTCTCCCTGCGCTCAGCGAGCCTTACTCCCAGGTAAAACGCGCAAATGATCCTAACAGTCACATTACTAAGGGCAAGAAGGTTCTGGTTGTTGGGGAAGCCCGTTCCTGGACGGTTCCGAGGGCAATTCTCCGGGCTGGGGTTCCCTGCGGAGCTTAGAATCGGGTCCTTTCCCTGTTCTGCCCCGCTAAAGCCCCTTCCTGCCCAGATCCCTCACTTCCCACCCGCAGGTGCCCCGTTCCCAAGCAGGGCGACCATTCCGGAGCTGCCACTCTACTACCTACCTCCCCCTTGCCAATTTCTTCCGACGGGGCCTCCGCCTCGTCCCCTGACCCACGTCCTCCCGGCGCTCCTCAGGCCAGCAAGTGCCTTGGCGGCGTCATTAGATCCACTCGGGAGAGGAGCTCGCTCAGTGGAGCCGTCGAGTCCCGGGGGCTCCGGGCATGTTCCGAGGGGCGGCTTCCGCGGAGTCAGAGGGGCGGCTCCAGGAGGCCTCCGGCCCGGGCTTTCAGGCTCCTCCGGCGGCTGGGAGGCGGCGAGTCAAGTGCCGGCATAGAGCTTCCCCGGGAGCCCCGTCCTGCCTTCGGCTCCGGCGGAGCTCGGCGCGAGTCTGGACCTCCCCCTCGCGGGTCCATCGCATTTCAGCGCTCGCCGCGGCGCGGGCTCTGTCCCCGCCCGCAGTCCCTCCCCGAGCCCCAGCAATTCGAACGCTCGCCGCCCCAGCGTTCGAAGCCACGCCCCCCTCCGAACGCTCGAGAGGTTGCGAACGTTCCGAGGGCCGCCCCTCGAAGCCCCGCCTCTCCGTTCCACCACCACCACTGTTTACTTCTGTTTGGATAGCAACTTGGCTTTAAAGGGGCAGAGCTCCTTTCTCTCTCCCCCTACACCCTCCCGCCCCACACTTTCCCTCCCCACCCCCAACGTTACCTAAGGTGACTTTTTCCCCTTTGAGAAAACACGATCAGTGCATAAATCAAGATCTTCCTTCCTTAATGCTTCTGGCTACTCCAACTGCAAAACCTTCGGTAGCTGTCTCTCAGGCTAAGCCCTAGAAGTTGAACGTGTCCAACACACCGTTTTCATGGACTAAATATGCTGGCTATATGTTCTCTATACACTCAGAGTAATACCTTCAGACCATTAACGGTTTTTTCCTGCTTCGTGTGAAGCAGATCAATGTGAACGCGATAGTTTAGAAGGCTTCTTTGAATTCTCTAATCTTATATTTTCCCTCCCCTCTTTTCTCCCCCCCCCCTTTGCCTCTTCTTTATTTAATTTGTTAGACTGTAAGGTTCCCGAGAGAATCGTGTTTTTAAAACAAAATTATAGGGCGCCACTTTGTCATAGCCATTTCAAAGTATTAGTGTCATCATCATCATCATCTCCCAGCTGAAGAAATCCTCTCTCAAAACCTGGCTTTCGTGAGCAAACGATTTTCTTCTACCCGAAACAGGTGAATCCCAAGGAACCGCCAACATTACCCGGGCGAAATAAATAAAAATATCTGGCATCTAGGAAAATCTTGAAAGGTAGTTTTTAAACTTCCCGAGTGACTATAATTCGGAAATGCTTTTCCTCTGTTAGATGAGAAAGTTTCCCCAAATATATATACATAAAAATATATTTTATATACATTTAATTGTTGGAAGCATATGCATGCAGATTATAGGGACCTCGGGGGCTTTTGCTACCACTTTTCCTCCTTTTCAGTTTAAGAGGGATTTTTATGTTGTTGTTGTTTTTACTTATCCCAAGTGACCAATCACAGGTTGTTTAACTTGAGCCCCTGGATAAATAGAAACACATTACTGTTCGTGGTTAAGTTGCGGTCGGGCTCCTTTTTCCCTGCATGCAAGCGGCGTTTTAGACGAATATTTGTTAACTACTCATTAATGGCACGGAGCGCAGCGCGGAGGGCTGATTATGCCCCCCAGACGGAACCGTGCAGGACCGGCTCCCTGAAACCTAAAACAATCCACATGGCGAAATGACGTTAAAAGGCACACACACACACACACGCATCACCCTCCACCTCTCGGGACTTGGAGCAAGATCGTGCTGCTTAAGAGCTAGGGGAGAGAGAGAAAGGGAGATCTCGGGCAAATGGGCCAGATGAGAAAGCGCGTTTGGTTCAAACGATGAGCGCGAAACAAATGCTCTCAACAAACACGCCAAGCGATGGAAACTTTGGAAAATGTGAGATGCTGAGTGAGGCAACGAAAAAAAGCCAGATCTCTCTGTTTCCAGCCTCCTATTGATAAGGAACTGAGTGGGCAGTGAAGGATCCGTTCCTGTCCTAGAGCAGTTAGGATTCCTGAATTTCCCTGCACAGAAAAGAAAAAAGGAGATGATTAGAAACTGAGAAGGAAGATGCAGAGGGCGGGGGGAGCAGGGGCGGTAGGGGGAGAATAGCAATGAGCAGGAAAATAAGGGGTGGGAAGAAAAATAATAATGGATGTGAATGCACGATCAGGGCAGGCAGCGAAACAATTTTATCGTCCCCAACTTCGGGGTTAAAGGGACTCCCTGGCCATCATCTTGGCCCCTTGACCCCAATGGCTTCAGTCCTAAGGAACCTTCTAATTCAGTTCCATGGAGAGCAGTGGGACTTGGTGGCTCTGCTCCTGCGCGCCAGCGGCCTTTAGCAAAAGCACCATGGGCGCAGAGTGAGACTTCTTCCCTCGACGGCTGACTCCAAAGGTGAACGGAGGACTGCGCGGAGAAACAGGAGCGACCCACCCGGCGAGGCTACGCTATATTTATTCGATAAATGCATGCGTGGCCATAGCTGCAATGTGTTGGCATGGCTACTTAAGTTAGGAAGAACAATCCCTACCTTTTATCATTTTAAAAATATGACCCATGTCCGGAGAGCAGCAGGATCTGAGCGAAATTCCCGTCGCCGGCAAATGTCTCTGCCCCGCACCCCGCACAATATTGACTCCCTTATCCATAATAAATTAAATTCCCATCGGCGCTCCATGCTGGTTGGGATCCCCCCCCCCAATGAAAAGAGAGGGGAAATATATTGACCATCTTTCCCCGCTGTTTTTTCTAGATTCTATATTATGTAGGTTCAGCAATAATAGAAAGCAAAATCACCCACGGATTGCAGTGGCTGGGTAAGGTATTGGCACTGGAGTGAAAGAAGGAATCTGCAAAACAATTCACGAGGTTGCTCCTGCTGCTGCTGCTGAGGCTAATAATAATAATAATAATAATAATATGCCGTTGCCTATATGCCACTATCAAAGTCGCAAGTAGTAGAGAGCAACGGCGACGATGAGAGCACAATGTTTTGGGCCCCAATCCTTGGGCTTAGACTGTTTTAATTTACAAGGCACAACAGGTGCCTCTGCGGGGCAGAAGCTGGTCGAGAGCTAACAAATTTTGCTTTTCCTTCGCTCTGGTTTGCCAAACAGAGACTTTCCGCTCACTCTTTCAGACCCTCAGAGCGAATCCCAGCATCTGGTGCAAAGTCGGGTCGAATCCATTCGACGTTTGAAATGGTGTTGGATGTGTGTTTCCTACGGCCTGCCGCTGAATAGCAACGACAACAGACAAACACAAGCAAATATACAAACACGCAAACAAATGCACGACTGCTTCGGCCTCCCAGTCCCTAAATACTGTAGAGTTGATTTGGGACCTGTCCTGTTGGTTCTGAATGGACGAAGCTTGAGCCCGCACACTTACTTGCGAGGAAGCCCCATTGGGCGCAGTCGAGACCGGCGGCATCCTACACCTTGGGAGGAAGACTCCGCACTCCCTCGGTGCGCAATCTCTGCAGGGCATTTGAGTGCGCAAGGGAGCTGCTGGTGATGGCAGAGAAGCGGTGTGTGTCTCTGTATTATCTTCACAACAAGTTTGTGAGGTAGGTTAGGCCGAGGGGATTGCGGCGGGGGTGGGAGAGAGAGAGGCCCCGGGCCACCCGAGGAACTTCATGTGCCCAGGATTGGAACCCAGGACCAGGAATCAACTGCTCGCTCTGGCTGCAGCAGAGCTTTCTACTTCCAAGCAAGAAGGCGCTCCCGAAGCCGAGTCCGCGCGCTGGGGAAGCGGCTGCAAGTCCTCACCGGTGGCCGCTGTCAGGGAATCAGGAGCCGGATGAGACCCGCCGGGAGCGGATCTGGCCTTGGCTGCGTTCCTTTCCAAGGGCAAAGAGGTGCGAAGGGCATCCCATTCTAAGCCCGCCGCTTTCGCTCGCTGGGGCTGACTTTTCCCATCCAAGCAGCGCGCACACCCCTTGCTCGCCTCCAGCCCTCTTCTCCCTCCCTCCCCCCCCCCCCGCGAGCCTGGGGGCAGCAAAGCAGGCGCAGCGGGACCCCCTTCTCGCCGAGCCGGTGTTTCCCCTTTGGTGATGCCACCCAGGAAGCCCGATCCGGAGTCCTGCAGGGAAGCTGGGAGGGAGGGGGGTTTCAAACTGAAAAGCGCTCTGCTTCGTTTTGCAAGATCAAGAAGGCGCGCGCTGGGCCCTTTTCCTCGCTCCACTTTCTGCCCTGATCATCTAGATGGGGAGTGCGGTGTGGGATTCGCACCCCGACGAGCGGAAGGCGCTCTGCCCATGCTCAGAAGCTCTCTCGCCGCTACGCTTTTCTTAAAAGCTAGGAGACACTGGGTCGGAGCGACGCGCTCTAGGCCTCGGAAGGCTCACCGTTTGCGAGACCAGCCGTGGGGAAACCTGCGTGACCTTCCAAGACCTTTTCTGCTGGGCTCCACTGACGACGATTATCCCTGACCACTAGGCACGCTGGCTGAGCCGGGTGGGTGGGACACCAGGTAGGGAGAGGAGGACGGCTGTAGAGGCAGGCAGCGAGTAGGCAGCTGCCCAAGGCGGTTAGGCCCAAATAGATCGTGGCTAGGGACATCAGCCTCCGACAAAATAAAATAAAATAAAATAAAATAAAATAAAATAAAATAAAATAAAATAAAATAAAATAAAGTCTCAGGCGGAATCACCCGGCGCTTGGGCAGTTTCCCGGTGCGTGGTTTCCCCGGCTTGCCAAGCTGCCTGGTGCGGCGGGCGCGCGCAACGCGGCCACTTACTTGCCTGCTTTGCGCAGAGCCGGGGCGCGCGCCCCCTTCCTCTCGCCCCTGCCCTCCTCTGCAGGGGTCCAGGCAGGACCAGAGGAAGCCGGCGAGGGGAGCAGGACGACTCCTGAGCACCGGGGACGGAGTCCGCAGGGTGGGCTGGGGGACACGAAATGCCTGCGGGGCGCTCGGCTGGGGGGCCAAGGCAGGGAAGCGGGGAGGTGAGCGGCGGTCCAGGTCTGCTTAGGAAGCAGCGGCAGCAGCAGCAGCAGGGAAACGAAGAGCTCCAGCGCCCCCTGGAGGCATCTGTTTGCTTTGCGGCTCGCGGAAGGGGCAGAAAAGGCTCAGGATGCTTCCGCAACACGCGAGAAAGAAGCGGCTGGGCGGAGCTCCGGCTCACTCTTGCACTTCCTCGCTAAAGGATACTATGGTTGAGGATCCCCGGTCACTGTATTTAGGTTATTTTGTGCCCCTTGCGGCGCGGGGAGTTGTGTGCATTTAAAACCACAGCACGAAAGACTAAGGATCCAAAGCAGAGAGAATCGAGCCACTCTATAGAGACTTTTATCTACATAGATATTGATAAAGAAGGGCTCGGGACCAGCATTTCGCAGGACTATGGGACAGTGCGATCCCCTCCGAAATAAATCCTATGGAATTCAAAAGGGCTGACTCGGACAGCGCGCTCCAATAAATGCCTACTCAGAAGTAAGCCCCACAGAGCTCGCTGGATCTTACTCCCAATAAAGTGCATTTGGGGTTGCAGACTGAGCTGAGTGCGCCTTGCTTTGCTGTGCTTGCTTCTCCGGGAGCAATAAGGCCCATTGATTTCAGTGCCACTTAATTACTTCTTGAGTAAACACTTCTTCGTTTGGACGCTGGCAGGGCATAGAGTTGATGTGCCAAGCGCAAAATCCTAGACATGTCTACTCAGAAGTTAATCCTACCGAATTCAATGGTGCTTACTCTCTGGTAGAGTGGGGTTAGGATTGCAACCATTGAGTTCGGAGCGACTTACTTCTGAATAGACAATAGGATGGCATATCTGAGACAAGACAAAAACGCTGTTCTGAAGCAGCCCCGAAAGGATGCTCTGCAAGGATCGACGCCTACTGTGAAATAGGTGAAGGGATAGAAGCTTGCAAAAGTATGCATTGCATGGAGAAAGCGGTTAGAGAAAAGCTTTATTCCCTCTCTCATAACCCTAGAACTCGTAAAAGGCGGTACAGTATATTTCTTCAGGGCAGCTCATAGTTAAACTATATGGGAGACAGTGATGGCCCCCAAGATAAATAACTTTACAAGATGCTTAGGTACATCCAAGGAAGAGGGGGGCTATCGATTACTATTAGCTGGGAGGCAGCAATGCCCTGAGATGTTATGATGAACAGCGGTATATAAATCTAATAAATAAAATGGGAACCACAGGAGGAGAGAGGGCTCTTGCGCTCGAAGTCTTCTTGCGGGTTTTTCCACCGGCATCTGCTTGGCCACTGCGCTACCACGACGCTGGAGGAGGCGGGCCATTGGCCCGATCCAGCGGGCTTTTCTTCTGTTCCACGTTCTTAAGGTACCACAAGACTTTCCATGGGGACTGATGAGCGGATTGAAGGACAGATGGGGGGGAAACAAGCCCTAAGGACAGAGCGAGGGCACCAACTGGGTGTGCCCGGTTATATACAGTACTGTAGTAGCTCCTTGCCCTGCAGCCAATGACGCAAATGCTATTTCTCGCTAGCCAACCCTGGACGAAGGTGTGGCAATTCCTACAGCAGGTGAACTCGTCTCCAGGTAAGGACCCAGAGCACAGCCCTCAGATTAGAACGCCTTTTGAGTTGGAGGGAGACGTGAGGGCCTAAGAAAGATGGGCGTGCATCCAGGCATGTGCAGAGTGCTTCTCTCTTTCTACAAACCCGGTCCTCCTCAGACACCTGGAATCAAGAGCAAGGTCGCACTTCTGGCTGAACTCCAGCCCCCTTCAGTTTTAAAACCAAACTCTGGTGACCTGAACTTCACTTTCCGAGTTGGGTCTTATTAACCCCCCTGAGTTCCTTTCTAAAAGGGGTGTCGTGACAGCTCTTTTACTCTCTTTATAATACAAATAAAAATGTATTTTTAAAATATTTGGAAACGGTTAAATATGATAAACACACGCGGCTGTTTTTCAGTACAACAGGAGCAGGACCGTTCCACATATAGTGTGGTATCCGACTAAGCCATACTCATACCCACTGAAATCAAGTTAGCCATGACTAAATTAAGGCAATTGGTTTCAATGGGCCTACTCTGAAAATGACTTACGCTAAACGTGCCTACTCAGAAGCAGGCCCTACTGAGCTCGAGAGGGCTTACTCCCAAGTAAATACCCGTAGAAATAAAAGTCGCCACACAAGGCTTACTCCCTTAGGAATTAATCCCATTATACACAGCGACCTGAATTCGAAATAAACACGCATAGAAAAGAACTGTGAAGAAATAACCATTACATATACACGTGTGAAAGCAAACAAGTTAATCTGACTGCCCTGTCCTACTTTGATGGCGCTGCAGCAACAATCCAATGCAGTATAGATGCTCTGGCGTCTGTTATCCCGTTTTTTGCTACCAATTTTTCCCTATAGCAACATGATTCAGGGCTAGTTTATGCGTGGGTTTGAATAAGTGTCAAAATGCATAAAGCTGTAATGACTGAAGGCAAAATGGCCTCGGCTCATTTGCCCAGAGGGACACCCGTGGACTGCAGCTCAGTTCATCCCACGTTGTCTTTTGAATGGACCTGTTGTCTCCGCTGAAGCTTTGCGCGTTTCCCAGATGCGTTTCTGCTTGGGAGGTTGGATCTAGGTCTCAGCGCGTGGAGCTCCGCTGAAGCCTCTCCTGCGCAGACCTCAAAAGTTCGCGCTTCCGGCAAAAACTCCCAGCGCGACAGCCTGGGAACCAGCAAACAGCAGAGGTCCCATCTGCTCCCTAACCTGCTTCTGGTACATTTAATCCAGATTCCCGGCTTCTGCTGCAACTCAAACGGAGATTATTAGAAGAATCTCCACGCTTTCGATTTCATAGCGCTGCCAAGCTGCGTTTGAATAAAAACTCTCAAACTACTTGCCCAAGGAAAAACAACATTCAACCACATTTGCTCGTGGCTTAAACACCCGTGTTAGGTCACTAAATAGGGTTTAGATTTTCCCATCAGGACTTGCGCAGAGTTAGACGATTTTAAGCCAGTATGGTGGTCACAAGTGCTCTCTGCCCATGCTCAGATACGCTCTTCATATATCCCAGAACTGGGCTCTCATGCGGAAAACAGATTATGTGGTTGGGCGCTGATACAAATCAAGCACTTTGACACCTAATAATTTTTGAGGCAGCTTCATTTACCCAACTGAGACTTTTCTGAAGGAACTCGATTTGCGTCTCAGGTCTCTGCCCCGCAGCAGGGCTGTCTGGTTACGTTTTGAAGCAAGAGAAACAATATCCGTTGCCATATTAAGATGGGAGGGGGCTTTTAGACCTTTAAGCCCCCAGTCTAAAATTACTTAAGTGCATTACAGTTCTCATAGACCTGTGTGTGTCGTGAAATCAAAAGGAAACGAGGGATTCAGAGCTTGTAAGAAGCGGTGCCCTTCTTTCAACTTACACGAGCTGATTCACACATGCCCAGACGGCTTGCAAGTCGCCCGGTGATACAGGGCGAAATACCTCTTAAGGGTCAAACACCACGTGTAGCCTTTTTCATGAAATCATTGCTGTGCTTTTCAGGGGGAAGGTTCACACATTTAGCTTGCAGAAGCGTCGGCGATTCAGAGATGAGAGAGCAAAAAACCGAGAGGCGTGTCTGATGCAGGCTGCGGTCCTTAGCACAACGGGACCCAATCCCATCCGTGGCGCATATAGGTAATTCTGGGTTTAGTGGTTTGACGGCTCCTCCCTTAAAGGTGACCCATGTGCATTACTTCACTTGCGAAGCACACCGTTAACATTTATTTCTCCCCAGCCGTTCCACTGCTTCTTCGTTCCCGAAATTGCTAAAAAAGCGCACTCTGAGCGCACACACAGCTTCTCCTTTTGCTCTCGCATAAATCATCGCACTCTGTAGACTAGAGGAATAGAACTGAGTTGCTTCTGCTGCCCCGAGGCTAAGCACAGTTATGATTTCTCTTAATACTCCCGTCTTTCCTCCCAGGAGCTCAAAGGTGGCCGACACAGGGAATGCCCGCTCTCCAGTTTTATCCTCACAACCACAGCCCTGCGAGGAAGG